CATGTGTGGTTCCGCCCCCTGCGCCGGCCGAGGCGTAGCTGGCAAGCGGCAGAGACGGAGCAGGCCGACCACCAGCTGGCCCAGCCCAAGGGAGGTAAGGCACCCGCCGGAAAAGGGGAAAAAATGGCGGACAAAAAAAATGGCGGACAGCCTTGCTTGGCGACCCCCGTGAAATGGTCGATCGACCCCAAATGGGGTCTCAACCCACAGGTTGAGAACCACTGGTCTAAGGATATTTACCCATGTGGTATGGGTATATTTCTTTTTTTTTTCCCACATATATTTTTATTAATTTTTTTATAGTCACAAATCAAAATAAATAAAAATGTAAATGTTCATTTGTTCAAAATCTTAAATCTCCGAAAGTTCTTCACCGATTGCTTTGAAATTTTGACACAACGTTGCATTCGAATACGTGCGTGTTTTTATATACCTATATTATATAGATGTCACACCTGTGACAGGTAAAAACATGTTTTTTTAAAAAACAGCGCCATCTGTTGGACGTAAAAGCAACACGCACCAGACTGAGCCACAGCAACGCGTGGCCGGGTACAGCTATGCTTAATATTTTATCAGCAACATATTGTCTGGGTTCCAACATTTAACTTACTAATACCTGTTAAATTCCTTTCTCTCTGCCTCGTTTTTCTAGCCATTGATAAAAGGTATCCCGTGTTCTAAAAGTATACTGAATCTTCTTTCTCCTTCATTTTCAATGTCAATCTATCCATTTCTGCACAATCTAATTTTTTTTTTTAGTTAACTCTTCCTCCGTTGGGAAATCTTCATTTTTCCAGTGTTGAGTGAATACAATTCTCGCTGTGGTTAATACATGTAAAATTAGATATATACACTCTTGCTCATAATTTCCTACAATTATGCCTGACAAAAATAATTTTCGCTTAAAATATATATGTTTTTTTTTTTTAGTAATTTTCTGGTATGGCTATATTTCTTATGTCTAAGGATACTTACCCATGTGGTATGGCTGGATTATTATTATCTTTTCAACTACCTTCTTCTATTAATATCATATGATTATCTTGTTGTTTGTATGTACATGTTTGTATGTTTGTATGTATGTACACTGATTATATTACATTGTTGTTTGTAGGTATACTGAGAGCTTATGCACCAGAGACAAATTCCTTGTGTGTCCAATCACTCTTGGCCAATAACTCAATTCAATTCAATTCAATTCTATTCTATTCTATTTTCTATTCTACATTCCATTCCATTCCATTCCATTCCATATTCTATTCCATTCCATTCTATTCTATTCTATTCTATTCTATTCTATTCTATTCTATTCTATTCTATTCTATTCTACATTCTATTCTATTCTATTCTATTCTATAATAATAATAATAGTAAAGTTGGAAGGAACCTTGGAGGTCATCTAGTCCAACCCCCTGCTCAGGCAGGAAACCCTATACCATTTCGGACAAATGGCTGTCCAGTCTCTTCTTAAAAACCTCCAGTGTTGGAGCATTCACCGCTTCTGGAGGCAGATTGTTCCACTGGTTAATTGTTCTAACTGTCAGGAAGTTTCTCCTTAGTTCTAGGTTGCTTCTCTCCTTGGTTAGTTTCCACCCGTTGCCTCTTGTCCTGCCTTCAGGCGCCTTGGAAAATAGCTTGACTCCCTCTTCTTTGGGGCAGCCCCTGAGATATTGGAATACAGCTAGTCCTTCTTTTCATTAAACTAGACCAGGGGTAGGCAACCTTGGCTCTTTTATGACTCGTGGACTTCAACTCCCAGAATTCCTGAGCCAGCTGTGCTGGCTCAGGAATTCTGGGAGTTGAAGTCCACGAGTCATAAAAGAGCCAAGGTTGCCTACCCCTGAACTAGACATACCCAATTCCAGCAACCGTTCCTTATATGTTTTAGCCTCCAGTCCCCTAATCATCTTTGTTGCTCTTCTCTGCACTCTTTCTAGAGTCTCAACATCTTTTTTACATCATGGTGACCAAAACTGGATGCAGTATTCCAAGTGTGGCCTTACCAAGGCGTTGTAAAGTGGTATTAACACTTCTATTCTGTTCTATTCTACATTCCATTCCATTCCATATTCTATTCCATTCCATTCCATTCTATTCCTGTCAGTTACCCAGCATCCAAATTCTGATCATGTGACCACGGGGATGCTGCCACGTAAATGTGAAAACTGCTCATGTCACTTATCCTAGTTGGATAATGAAACGTCTGCAAGAAAACAACCCAACTCAGAAAGCCTTAAGGCCCCCACATTCTATACGAAGAGTAGAAAGAGCTGGAAAAGTCACCGCAGTGACTTTAACAGTCATTTAAAAGCCACCACCATACCTTATGGTCATCTTCTCCTCTCTGTCTGAGTCCGGGTTATCCTCTTCTAACACCACACTTGGGGGCGGAGATGGAAATTCGTCCAGGCTGTCAGTGGGACTCTCCGGAGGAGGGGGTGGATATTCTGAGATAGCACCCATAGGATGAGGCTGTGCTTCTTGGATAAAAACATCGTCGTTGTCCTCTTCCTGACAGAATGGCGGCGGGGACATCTGGAGGTAGGTTTCGGAGATGCGAAGGGAGAACCTTCCTTGACTGGAGAGAGATTCTGGCTCAGAGAAGGAACTATTCTTAGAGGGGATCCCGTGCCACTGTTGGAAAGCCTTCTGTCCAGATGTCTGAACAGAAATGGAGCTCTTTGGATGGCTCTCCTCCCTAGCCCACTTGACTTTAGGTGGGGGTTGTCTCTGAGACAGAGTAGACTTCGGTCTCCAAGCTGTCTCTTCGGCTGGCTCCTTCCCCGGGTAACTGACACCGTCCAGGACCTGGGCTTTGTTATTGTCTTCCTTGTCAGTCCTGGGCGGCCATCTTGTGAGCGCGTTGTCTCCAGCAGCTGAAAAGTCTGAAAGCGTCGGGGTGGAGGAGGCCGAACTGCGGGAAGAATAGCTAGATTTGGAAGGGGTGACCCGTCTGAAGCCTGGCTTGGCATCAGAGTGCTTCTCCTTCGTATCCGGGCAAGGGGAGACGAAGGCCGAGGTGCGGCTGTGATGTCTGAGAATATCAGGGACCTTCTGCTTCTCTGCGGGGGGCGCTGAGCTCCCAACGTTCTCACTGCTGTGATGAGGACGGTATTGCGTGAAGGCCGATTTTTCCAGGTGGCCTCTTTTGCTACTGCCAAATGACCTAGGAGAGAGAGAGAGTGCAAGAAAACAGAATTTTCTCAAAGTGAAATAAAACGGGGGGAAAAAAAGAGGAGGGGAAAAGCACTCCGACCCTCCCCACCCCACAATTCAAGCAGAAATCATTTTTAAAAATAGCCCTGGAGGTGACCATTATAAGGGAAGTAACTGGCCCCAAAGTAATTAACCACTGCTTAACAACATCTCCCAACGTGTCGGCTTGCGTGGAAATGTTCTCGGTGCATCACAGAGCCTTCGTAACACTTGTCCACAGTGAAGCAACATCGATAAAATAGGCAATGATGAGAGGGATCTCGGAGTCCTAGTGGACAATCACTTAAGGTAGGAGCCAGCCATGTGTTGCAGCTGCCAAAAAAGCCAACACAGTGCTAGGCTGCCTTAACATAGGGATAGAATCAAGATCACGTGAAGTGTTAATACCACTTGGTAAGGCCACACTTGGAATAATGCATCCAGTTTTGGTCACCGCGATGTAAAAAAGATGTTGAGACTCTAGAAAGAGTACAGAGAAGAGCAACAAAGATGATCAGGGGACTGGAGGCTAAAACATATAAGGAACAGTTGCTGGAATTGGGTATGTCTAATTTAATGAAGAGAAGGACGAGGGGGGACATGATAGCAGTGTTCCAGTATCTCAGGGGCTGCCCCAAAGAAGAGGGAGTCAAGCTATTCTCCAAAGCGCCTGAAGGCAGGACAAGAAGCAATGGATAGAAACTAATCAAGGAGAGAAGCAACCTGGAACTAAGGAGAAACTTCCTGACAGTTAGAACAATTAAGCAGTGGAACCACCTGCTTCCAGAAGCGGTGAATGCTCCAACAGTGGAAGATTTTAAGAAGAGACTGGACAGCCATTTGTCTGAAATGGTATAGGGTTTCCTGTCTGACCAGGGGGTTGGACTACATGACCTCCAAGGTCCCTTCCAACTTTATTATTATTATTATTATTATTATTATTATTATTATTATTATTATTATTATTATTATTATTATTATTATTATTATTATTATTATTATTATTATTTACATTTAAGGCTCAGTAATGTGGTTTATTGTCACGACCGAACTAGGTAATGTCATCAGTGCTAGAAGGGAACGGGGGGTTTGCTCTCATTTTATATACTAAAGGCTTGCCCTGTCATTGTTGGCAGGAGTGCTCTTGGTGTTTCCTTGATTAAACCGTTGTTTACTGTTTCATAGATTGTCTGAAAAGGGAGCCTGATAGCTCAGCGTTTAAAGACGCTGAGCTTGTCAGCTGCAAAGCTGACAGCCCACGTTTGAAACCCGATCGTGGCACGATGGGGTGAGCTCCCGTTACTTGCCTCAGCTCCTGCCCACATCGCCATGCGAGTAGATAAACGGGTACCACTTTGGTGGGAAGGCGATAGTGTTCCAGGGCGCATTGGAGTATAGTAATCTGGCTACACGACCACAGAAGCATCTTGGGACAATGCTGGCTTCATCGGCTAAGAAACAGAGATGAGCACCACCCGCTAGAGTCAGACACGACAAACCAGGGGAAGCCTTTACATTTACATCAGTGGTTCTCAACCTTTTTAATGCCGCGACCCCAACCGGTCGTAAGTCGAGGACTAAACCGGTTGTAAGTCGAGGACTAAACCGGTCGTAAGTCGAGGACTACCCGACCGGTCGTAAGTCGAGGACTTTCCCTGCTCAGGAGCGCCGCGCATGCGTGGTTCCGCCCCCTGCGCCAGCCGAGGCGTAACTGGCAAGTGGCAGAGACGGAGCAGGCCGACCACCAGCTGGCCCAGCCCAAGGGAGGTAAGGCACCCACCGGAAAAGGGGGGAAAAAATGGCGGACAAAAAAATGGCGGACAAAAAAAAATGGTGGACAGCCTTGCTTGGCGACCCCCGTGAAATGGTTGATCGACCCCAAATGGGGTCCCGACCCACAGGTTGAGAACCACTGCTTTAGATTGTTTGAATTGGTTCCTTGCTTGGGGAATAGTTGATGCTTTCATTTTTGAGGGCCAATAATGCAGCAATGATGCAGCTTACATCTACTGTTGTACTCTGGAGTTCATTGCTACAAATATATTAAACGATAAGCGAAATCTCCATTCCAGCAAATAGGTGTTTTTTACAAATAGGGACTGGACAGAAACATAAAACTTTTAGCACAATCGAAGGTCCCAGTTATACCCTCACTCCATGAGGGAGCGTGACACAAATAGCGTTAGGTTAATATATGACATTCTGAAACAGTTCTCACATGATTTCCCTGCCATTCTGGAGCAGTAATTATGTGGGATATGCAAAGCATCTGAAGGGAGTCCTTTCCCAAAGCCTGTTGTTGCAAGCAACCTGCCCTCCCTCTGAATGTTGAGGCAGCTGTGAAGTCTGCAAGGCTTAGCACAGGCTAAGTTTAGGGGTTGCTGGAAGTCGTTGTGAGTCTCACAGTGAGGCTGCGAAGGAAGTAAAGCATTTGAGGGTGTTTGTAGCAGTGGAGGTGACTGGGAAGTTTTGGAAGAAATCCTATCAACTCTTCTGGCAGAGCCAGCATTTCACTCAAGCTGATGCAATTTGAGGAGGATCTCTTTGAATGCGCTCTAAGCTCTAATTATCCTTCCTTCCCTTTTTTTCTTCCTTCCTTCTTTCCTTCCTTTCTTTTTCTTCCTTCCCTCTTTCCTTTCTTTCCTTCCTTCCTTCCTTTTCTTTCCCTTCCTTCCTTCCCCCTTTCCTTCCTTCCTTCCTTTTCTCTTCTTTCCTTCCTTCCTTCTTTCCTTCCCTCTTTCTTTTCTTTCTTTCTCTTCCTTCCTTTTCTCTTTTCTTTCTCCTTCCTTCCTTCCTTTTCTTTCTTTTTCTTCCTTCCTTCCTTCCCTTTCTTCCTTTCTTCTTTCTTTCCCTTCCTTCCTTCCTTTTCTCTTTCTTTTTCTTCCTTCCTTCTTTCCTTCCCTCTTTCTTTCTTTTTCTTCCTTCCCTCTCTACTTCCTTCCTTCCTTTTTTCTTTTTCTTCCTTCTTTCCTTCCCTCTTTCCTTTCTTCCTTCCTTCCTTCCTTCTTTTTCTTTCTTTCTTTCTTTTTCTTCCTTCCTTCCTTCTTTCCTTCCCTTCCCTCTTTCTTTTCCTTTTTCTTTCTCTTCCTTCCTTTCTCTTCCTTCCCTCTTTTCTTTTTTCTCTCTCCTTCCTTCCTTCCTTCCTTCCTTCCTTCCTTCCTTCCTTCCTTCCTTCCTTCCTTCCTTCCTTCCTTCCTTCCTTCCTTCCCTCTTTTCTTTTCTTTCTCTGCATTGTTAGGCTGTAGTTTCTGGCTTCACTCCTCTCTTGCACTGACACAAAGCCCATCACGTTTGGGTAAGCAATTAATGAGAAATGAAAACTAGCCCAATTTGGCTGATGAGCCTTTGGAATTACACGGAGCTCTTTGCCTGAAAAAAAAAGGGCGCCCTCAATCACCAACAAAGCCAGCTTACTGACTTTTACAGCTGTAGATTTTGGAAATAACATTTCTACGTATTTAGCATGCCTGCAAACACACACACACAAACACGCTTACCTGCTTGTAGCACCCAGGACGTAGAAAGGATCTTTCATAAAATGAGAGATTTGATTACTATCTTCCACCTGGAAATCCTTTAAGGAGAAGAGTTGGGAAGTTAAAAGCAAGTTTAAAAAGCCACGTATTTTATAAAAAGAGAACTACAGCAAATAGGGTCTAGGTGCCCACGCTAATACAACGACTGTTTTATGGACAGTCCTCGAACTTACAACCGTTCGTTTAACAACCATTTGAAGTTACAAGAGATCTGAAATCAGTGACTTACAACGGACTTGTGATCATTTGCAGCATCCCCAAGGTCACGTGATCAAAATTTGGGCATTTTTGACAACTGGCATCTTTACAAAGGTTCAAATGTCCCAGGGGATCATGTGATTGTTATTTGCTACTTTCCCAGCCAGTGGCCAGGGAATTTTGAACAGGTGACATGGACATTTTGGGCTCAACGGCGGTCGTAAATCGAGGAATTACTTGTACTCAAGTGGACAGAAGGAAGAAGAAGACAAACTTTTTGGAAGGGACAGATTAACTGAATTGCCTTTGTGCTCCCAGACAGAAAAAGGCCAGCCTCCTACCTCTGTTTCTGTCTCACATGCTGGCTGATTATCCAATTTTATTTTATTGTTTGCAACGGATGTGGGTGCTAATAGTGTTCTTCTATCATTGCATCTGCATATCAGTGAATCTTGCCCGCCTCACTTCTGCCTGCCATGTAAAATACTAAAAGCCTGAAACTTCTGCTGGAAAAACTGGAAACACAAATACACCTCCAGGAAAATTTGCTCGTCCCTGTTTCTTGGACTCCTGCGATTTTTCTTAGGCTGGCAAAAGAGGAACAATCTTTTCTTTGCCCGTTTTTGAGAATGATAAAGGGCAAGGAAACTAGCTGAAATGTTTAGAATCCAGGTGAGATTAAGATTTTGTTTTCGTTTGGTGCAATTGCTTGATTGTGGCTTAAGAAAAAGCCTGTGGATTTGAGTGAGCCTCGCAAATGTAACCTGTACAGACCTGAGAATGCAAGGAATAAAGTTGTTGGATAGCATGAGAAACCCCTGGGGATTAAATTCTCCTAATTATCTTAAGAGCAAAATTTAATTGGGATATTATTGGGAATGTCAGGCCCAAGGGACTGTTTGGCAGAAAAAGGAGAACGGATATTACATTGCATAGAGATATAAATTACAGCTTGAGGTTATGACCTCACTGAAATATGACTGCGCAATGACCACTCAGCAACACACAGCTGCGTTTACAGGTAGTCCTCAACTTATGACCACAACTGAGCCAAAATAAATGTCTGTGGCTAAGCAAGGCAGTTGTTGGGTAGGTTTTGTCCCATTTTGCAACCTTTCTTGCCACCGTTATTAAGTGAATCACTGCGGTGGTTAAGTTAGTAACATGGTTGCTAAGTGAATCTGCCTTCCCCATTGACTTTGCTTCAGTCGCAAAAGGGGATCACGTGACCCCGGGACGCTGCAACCGTCATAAGCGTGAGTCAGTTGCCGAGCATCTGAATTCTGATCACGTGACCCTGGGGAAGCTGCAATGGTCCTAAGTGTGAAAAAACGGCCGTAAGTCACTTTTTTCAGTACTGTTGTAACTTGGAACCATCATTAAATGAGAGATTGTAAGTCTGTTGCTTAGCAACGTAAAATTTTGGCTAAATTGTGCTTGTTCAGTGGTTGTAGTCGTAAGTTGAGAAGCACCTGTCATGCCTTCTTTTCCTTGTGCCAGCTGAAGCGTCCTGTGTCCGGCAGACTGTTTAAGGGTTTAATGCAGGGGTAGGCAACCTTGGCTCTTTTATGATTCGTGGACTTCAACTCCCAGAATTCCTGAGCCAGCATGGGGAACTGTGGCCCCTTTATGACTCGTGGACTTCAATTCCCAGAATTCCTGAGCCAGCATGGGGAACTGTGGCCCCTTTATGACTTGTGGACTTCAACTCCCAGAATTCCTGAGCATGGCTGGCTCAGGAATTCTGGGAGTTGAAGTCCACGAGTCATAAAAGAGCCAAGGTTGCCTACCCCTGGTTTAATATAAAGATTTGGGTCTATTACAGAAAGTCTTCAACTTACCACCGCACAGCAATTCCCTCGGCACCTGGATGAAACAGTCTATCTAGACCCATACCAGTCGGGCTTCAGGCCGGGGCACAGCACGGAAACGGCATTGGTCGCGTTGGTCAATGATCTCTGGAGGGCCCGGGACAGAGGTTACTCCTCTGTCCTTGTTCTTTTGGACCTCTCAGCGGCTTTTGATACCGTAGACCACGGTATCA